GAAGTGGCACGAAGGATACCTCCTCACAACTCATGTTCTCCTGATACAAATTTTCGAAATTGGTCGGTGGAATTGCGAAAAACGCGCATGAATTCTTGAGATGACGTTAGGAGAATTCCATGAAACTCAAAGAATGTCTCCTCATAATGCATGTTCGGCTGGTACAAATTCTCAATATTTTTTTTTTATATTTTATTTTTTACAGTTTGGGCAATTTCTAGGAGGCGGAATGACGGGATTTATAAGTAAGTATATATGCAAATTCATGTTTTTATTCGTATTTATTTTCAAACACTTTTGTACATCAAATGACTTAATATATTTTATTAATAGGTGGATACATTATTGGCTCTTATTTGTAGGACGGAATTATTATAATAATATGTACATGTCAGTGTGCGCTGTGGTATAGGATCTTGTAGAAAGCTAATAAAAATCTATCGAGGGTATGAAGATAATGTAGCAATTAATTTGCTTCTATGAAGTTGAGGAAAACTGTAAGGTATGGAAAAAAATGTCATAAATACATAAATCGGACGGTTGCTTTCTTGCGCTGTATTAAATGTCGTTCGCATTAGGTTATTTTGACATTTACTTGCCGAATATGAACGCCCCCTTATGCAGGTTCGACGCAGCGCCATCTAGCCGTGATACGCAGAACTGAAGTTAAATGTCGTTCACATTAGGCTATTTTGACCGATACTTGCCTAATTTGAACGTCCCCTTATGTCGGTTCGACGCAGCGCCACCTTGCGGTGTTACACTGAACTACGATAGAAGTTTGTCTGATGGTATATTACCATTGAAGTGTAATGATTTAATTACCGACAGAATCCAGTCGGTACTTTGCACTTGTTCATCATAGTTCAGTAATTTGTTGTTAGATGGCGCTGTGAACAGCACTTGTGGCGGTTTTTTTAAAAGATTGATTCTTTTTCTTAATGCATTTATATGCGTAACATTTTTACGATAATTCCTTTAACGTATGTTGATCATCAGAGTCATCGGTCAAAATAAGTTCTGTTATCAAAGTCGTCGATCCAAAAAAATTCTATGTGTACTTGTGAACAAACAATTAATGTTTAAAGCTATCGTCGTTTGATCATATTCAGTTTTACTTTAAAAACAAAATCAACCGCCATTTTAACAAAACTAAAAGCTTATATGGAATGAAATTAATCAAATAGGAACAGCTTGGTTGAAACTCATTTATTAATCGGAGCCAAGATACATCTGTCCTCGAGGCAGTAGTTTTACAATAACGTGGTATTAGATCTCTTGAAAAATAAGAATTGTACTAGATTAGTAATAGTATAAATCGAGAGTATTAGATTAGATTCGCTGCATCTAAGGACAAAATTTCATGTACAATAGTAGATTTACAGATTCAGGCCACAGCGTCAAAATAGCATTAGACAGAATAGACAATGAATAATACTCGACAACGGAGGAGACAGCAAAACTGTTTGTTACTTTTTTTTTCAACTTTTCGAATAATCGTAACGATGGATGAGATTATAAAATGAATTACAGCAGACATTCTCATACGGCAGAGCTCCTTTTCTCAAAATAAGCGACAACAACTTCTTCTTTTGTACCTCGATAATTGATCACTGGAAACAATTAACCATCTGATAAATTTGTACAGTGTATGAAAATAATTCGATTGAAAGTACAACTTCTGATTTGTATATTTTTTCTTTCGTGGGAAGCAGAACAGAACGGATACCTTTCTTTTGTTTCTTACAATCAATTACTTTCAAACACATCTCAACCCATGATATGATAAACAATTTAGAATCACCTAAAAGGTACTTTTTTATACAACAAGTGTTAGAATATGTTATATTATCAAACACTTAGATAATAATGTATCTTTCTGCATAGTTTCTTTGTCTCTGCAACTATCGTACATTTAACTACTATTCTATTGTTAGAGCGGTAAACAACTTGTTCGTTCGAAGAACATTTCTATAATATTATTATATTGTCCATATATGTGTACATACATATAAATGTATATAGATACATAAGATACACATATATGTACATTATGTATACTGTGTATATATATATACTCCTTTTTTTCTTATTGAATAGTAACACGCTTCTCCGTTTCACCTTAAAATCATTTACATCGTGTTTTCTTTCTCTCAAGAGGTTTCCCGATCCAAAACGATTAAAAGTTGTCACGAAAAACGTGTACCGATAACGTAAATCCACAGTTCGAACTTCTTTTCTCTTTTGTTCCTCTAATACAATATATTATCTCGGGACAAAAGGGGTGTGACGGTGGTTAAAATATTATTTACGTTATATTGTCCAAGGAAACTTATAATTCGAGATGTTCTGACTCAACTCGAAGAGATCTGCAATCTAAATCTCTGCAGGACATTTCATTAATATAGTGTTTAATTCAAGTGAATTAGTACCATTAACATCAACTATACAGTTATTGCTATGGAAGCAGTACGATGATTCAGAGTGACGATAAATTCGACTGAATTTATATATACATATATAATCTAATTTACGTATAATTGGTAAAATTACAGTATATACCATAAATTCAATCGAATTCATCGTCCACGCTGAAGTAGCGTAACTTACAACAGGTTATATTATACAAACAGCTCTTTGTCAACGTATAATATTTCCTACTGCATTTGTTCCTTTATATACATAGCATTGTCTAGCGTTAACTACAGTTAATAACAACGAATATACAGTTCATCGACGACGGGATAATAAAGATCTCGACAACTCCCTTATCGTGGATAAATTATATATTATACTGTGTATTCGACGTTTATTCGGTGTGCTATCGTCTCATTTATTGTCAATACATTCGGAACAACATCCCTGCTGCTTTCCAACGACAAAACATTGTACCGTTTCCGAATGGATTAACGAGCAACGTCGATAAAAAGGCAAATTGTTTACATATAATTTTATATATTGACTCATACTGTAATTGAATGATCCTATCGTTGCCTAAGAACTTTTGCTTTCTTAAAATCTTACACAACTATGTCCGCTAACATAATTCATTGAACTTCAATTGCAGCATTTGTCGTTTTTTTTCTGTTATCCGTTTATAATAGAAGTTATTACAGTTTGAGAAATCGCGCGTACTTAATCTTACTCGTGTTTATATACGTGTATACTTTACGAATTTTGCCTACAAGTTTTTCTGCCATTTTTTTTTCATTTTGTTCAAAGATGTGCGTGTGTATTACCTGCTTGTAAAAGTTTCTCTCCCCTACTTTTATTCAAAAACGCATACATACACAAACAAACATAGCTCTCACTCTTTCCTTTTTTATTTTTAATTTTTTTTTTATTTCGTGTAACATGTTTCCTGTGTGTGCGTGTAAAGTTCGCGATATAGTTTTACTCTCCGCCGGTTTCGGTTAGTACGATAGAACTCACGGGTGAAATGTGAACGCTAAATTACAGTAGATTTGGATAGATTTCCAAGGATGTTCTCATAGCTGATACCATTTCTTGTCTTTGTACTTGAGCATTAATCCATGAGCGGATTGCGAGAAGCTTTCTGCTTCGGACATCATACGCGCCGTTCGTTCTTCCAATTGAGAAAGCTTCTCGCCTCGCTCCATGACCATCTGATGGGCCAAATTCACTTCTCCTGTGGCTGTTGTCACGCGTTCGCGAAGACCTTCCGCTCCAGAATTCGGTCCTGGTATATGTTTCGCTACTGTACGAGACGCTCGACCACTCGATTCGCCGACTGAAAATTTAAATCAAATAAAACATTTAATTCTTCAAGTTTACAAGAGCATCTAAAAAACTACACTCATTTATCACAGGAACTTTGTCATCTTATACAGAATGTTTCAGCAGAAATAAATACTTTAAAAATGATAATACAGGACTATTTCGAGTCAAAGTTTTTATGTAAACTTATCCACCAATGTGCACAAGAAATAACAAAGACTAAATGAATGCAGTGATCAATATTTATAAAAGATGCTTACATAGTTCTTCTCGGTCGAGACTTCGCGATCCACCGCCAAACAGTCCTTTAAAGAAACTTTCTTTCGGTGGTTCAGGCATGTCGTGACCAATAAATAGATCTCCCATCATTTCAGTTAATTCTCCGCTGAAAATATAGTTAAAACTCTTGAAGTTACTTTTAAAATATATTCCAATATTATTATATAAAAATGAACATTAAAATAAAAAGATAAACTAGAAAATTATATTGCAAATTTAACAAGGATGAAATTGAATTAAAATTTATGTAAGAAAAAGCATGCAATATTAAGTTTAACTTAGTATAAAATAAGTATTTTATTTATGAGTTTTGATTGTATAATTTGAAAGAATCGTACCAGAATTCACTGGACACAGAAAACTTTTGAATTTCCGTGGGAGAGGAGAGATAAAGACCGTGGCCCCTATTACTGAAGCAAAGTGTCTTTGCAATTCTGTAAAAAATATACGGACAATGTTATCACGGTATATGGTTATTTCGCAATGTCTGCATGAAAGTGTAAACGTATACAGGAGAAAAGTACTAAAATTCAATAAATGTGCACTTACGTATACAAGCGTAATAAAAGTAAAAGCGAACGACTGAATGAGGTTTAAAACAAGTTTATTCTTTTTGATGAAGTAATAACAAGATCGAAGATGGAATGATATATTTATTAGTGGAAAGAAATTAAAATGTACGTAGAGAAGGCATTGCATGTATCGTATAAAATACAATTGTGAGAGGTGTACTTTATAGATCTCACTTACTGCTCGGTATCGCCATTAACAAAGAGTTGATGACCCCATATGGACAACATGGGGTCTACAATGCCATGTTTTGTAGTCTGAAAACTGTTAGAGATTACAGAGACAGGAGAACAATGAGCGTTAAGCCATACACGAGTAAAAAAAGAGTAGGTCGTTTTTTTTCTTTTAAATATTTCTCAGTTGGAATAATGAGCATTAACCCTTAAAACATCAAGTCCTTTCATGTTTATAGAAATTTCTACGATCCCAATTTGATCAAATTTGTTAACAAGGCGATGTACATTCGAGTGCGAATCTGGGAAACCTCGACAAAATGGCGGCCGAAGGGAACATTCCTATAACTCGCAATAACTGTGCATTGGCATACATTATATTCAAATTACAATAAGCATTTTGTAAATCGATAGATAAAATTTTTGAAGATGTACTCTTACTTTTAAAGGACAACAGTTTTATTACTCTTTAGGTATAAGAAAGGTGACTCGGTACTAAATCAGAACATAAATCAACGTGTACTTATAATTATACAAATTCAAATTCGTGACGAAAGTAACGCAATAGTTTAATACGTAAACAAGATGTAAAAGATGATAGTGTGGGGCGAAGTATTTAATTTTGATTGATATAAAGTATTTTGAAAGCCTCACTTTTACATAAATTTTAAAATTAATGTACTTTCACGCACGCTGTTCGAAAATAGAGTGTTTTTCTCTAAAATTAGTCAATTAATTATAACTTTCGAAAATAACTGATTTATTGAAATTGATTTTAAAATATGTGGTTTTGAATTTAGATTTGATTACGGAATGAATAACGAACGTTTTTCTTTTAAAAATACAATTGAACATAAATAAAATTGAATATCAAATACAAATAAAATTCTTCTTTATCGACGGCTTGAAAATAGAATTCCTCTTGACCGACGACGACCCCGATGATCATCACAAAAATGGTACTAATGGCACCATCTTGCAATACACCATGGAACTACTAGAATAGAAAACTGTTTTTCCTTGAAATTAGCTACTTTCACATTATTCTGAGGCGATTAGAACATTCTAAGGCACCGATAGAACTGAAAAAATGCGATTACAATACTCTAAAAACCTTACAAAGAAAAATTGAATTGTGGTGATCATCAAAGTCGTCGGTGAAGAAGAGTTCTGTTATCAAAGCCGTCGATCAAGAAGAGTTCTGTTATTAAAACCGTCAATCAAGAAGAGTTCTATATGAATTTATGAGCAAATGATTCATGTTTAAAGCTATCGTCATATGATCGTATTCAATTTCATTTTAAAAACAAAATCGTTTACTATTCATTCTGTAACCAACCTTAATTCAAGAACATGTATTAAAATTAAATTCAAAATCAGTTCCAATAAAATTAGTTATTTTTGCGAAGTTATTAATTTATTGATTATTAAAATATAGGAAGACAATTCCTATAATTGAATCGTCTTATGTGCCACCATCTAGTGGTAAGAAAAGAAAAGTAAAGAAACAACAGTTTCAAAAGTGTGTACTTCACCCCGTTCGCCGGAGAGATGGCGCCAATAGTACCGTTTCCGAACGGATTCAATTGATTTTCAATTTTCTAATATTAATAAGCGATAAAATACTTTCATTTGCTTCAAAGAGCAACATTAATCAACTTTACACAATTTTATAAGTGTCAGAAAGCCAATAAAGGTAATATAAAAGAGAAAATTGTATTCGGAATGTAGGGCCATTAGTTCGTACCTTTCACCGCTAGATGGCTAAGCAATTTTTAGTCTAAGTTTTTCAAATTTTCAAATATATACCTCCTAGTGAATTGTAAAACCATTTTTCTGACTTTATCGTGCGTGTAGAATAATTTTTGAACGACAGCGAGTCGCGAGATTACCTCATTTCATGCATTTTTTTGTTTCGATTTTTAAAATGTATGTAAAAGTGAAGCTTCCAAAACGCTTAAAATCAATGAAATGAAGCACTGCACAATGTACTACCTTTTATATCTTTCGTTAATAATAAATTGCGATTAAAATGCATATTATAAGTCAGGTATAATAAGCATGCCAATGTATGCATGTTATTTAAAATTTTAAGGACCTATTACCCTAGGGACCATAGGGACCATTATTCCAGGGAAACGAGATTTGCATTCGAGTGTACTTCGAGACTGTTTAATAGAAATTAATAATGTAAAAATATTGATAAAATTAGAATAAGCACTGCTTGTACGATAGCTTATTTTTGATTTAAAAAAGTATAAATGAAGTATGATCGTATTCATATTCTGCTTAGTAAATAAAGGAACTGTTAGAGAAATAATTTACATTATTCAATTTAATTTTATATAAAAATTTTTCTTTCTCGTTAAACTTTTAGCATAATATTACTAACACATTAAGATTAAAAATCACTTAGTTACTTTAACTTGTTTAGTTAAGTCTACAGGATTCCATAGAAAAGAATATTTAGTGGAAATGTCACATGTCAAAGAATATGTGAAAATATCTAACACCATTTAATTTTACCATGTTATGTTCTTTTCTAGTTTGAATTGTTTTTGGACTAAATGAACTAATCTATAAAATAGAACTATAATAGTTCCATTCGTACAACATATATTTATATTTAAAATACACAATTACAAACAGCTAGTTGTTTTAGTAACAATAACTATGTGTTCCTGAAATTCTTTTGCTAAGACAATTAGAATCAACTTCTAACTACACATGAATTTATAGCCACGTTAAAAACATAGGATATTAATATGTAATTTTAAACTAAAATTATCACTGTCAATTAAAAGTAAAGAATACATTAATTTTCTAGAAGATTTAAGACAGGGTTAATTACAACATACTACATCACTAATTATATTACTAATCAGAATATGAATACCCTGAACATTCTCTATGCCGAATGTCCTTGAAAACATTCTTGATCCACATGCAAATATAAATTGAAATTTGTTTCGTTATTAATACAAAAATTATATGATTTCGATCGTTTAATTAATTAATTGTATTTTTACTCTTATATATTAGTTAAATAATAATGTTACAACAATAAATTATTTTATTAGTTAACTATGCTACAGGGATAATTGTTGCTATGAGTTTAAATTAATCACACAATTACACAACCAAGTAAAAAACAAAAGATTATGACACAGAATAGAATTCATGATTTTGATAAAATAAAGTGAAGTATGCACTAATTAGCATTGTAAACTCAAGTTTAAAAAATTAGATTCATTTAGTAAGTTCATATTTTGCACTAAAAAAGCGTACAAACGAATTGATAGAGATAGTGGAATAAATAAAACAATTATTTTAATTAAAAACCTTTAATCATAAAATATTGTAAAAATAACAAAACATAGTAAAAAAGTATTTGTACACCAGAAATGGTAATTGAAATTATATGTACCAAAAATTAATAGATATGACAATTTGAACAATGGAATATGAATTCTTTTATAAATTTTAAAAGACACAACACAATGAATATTTATAAGATTTGTCAATTGAAAAAATTAATTGAATATTATAAAAGTTAATATCCTGATTAATGTTATACTTATATGTACATACTAATTTATAAATGCATATGTACATACTAATTTGTAAATGCATATGTACATAATATCATTCAACTTCCGTTTAATATTATAAACTATAACATATAAAATATTATACAAGTTATTATACATTATATGTTTTCAAAATTATCAGCAATTCTAAAATTAATTTTTAAAAAAGAAATGAGAATCGTTTTTCGAATTGACATATAGTAGAGGTCGCTTTTCTAGCAAAATGAAGTTTCGCGAACAAAATTTGATTACGTACGTTCAATCAATATTTGCATGTAGAATTTCGAACTTTTCATCGATACAATCAGATTAACAGCCTGCATGTAATGTAATGGCACTGGAATTGACTAAAGAAAGAAAAACAGAAGTTGCATATCGCAGAAAGATGCAAATTTGATATTAATTTTTCGAAGAGCGAAACCACCAATTTCATATAGAGAACTATATAAAATATGTAATAGAATAAATAGTGCAATAAAAGTGCTCGTATAAAGAGTACTACATAAAACATGCTATAAGTGTATTAAGGGTTAACGAATACACGTTACTTGTAATAAAGATGAAATAACATGCTGTAGATGTTAAGATATTGCTTATTATCGTTTCACTAAGTAAAATAATTAATTATACTATATTTATGATAGCGTTATGAACTTAACCGTAAAATAGCATCTATTCAATGTTCATTCAACCATATAATACACAATGTGCTCACTAAATCATTATCCACATTATATACAACATTACTGTACGATTATGTGATACTTATACGTATTTTAGATCATTTTTATCAGATATCTTTGTTTGGTGCACTAATTCAATCTACTATACGTTATTATTTATGAATGCATATTTTCACTATTTAAAATAACGATAAAAATAAATAATGTAATTAAATTATAGTAATTAAAAGACTCTTATCATTTTCAAGTGTTTACCCGTAAAGATTAGTATTATTAATTAATAGAATACATGGGTTAATTTAGAAAAGATAAAAAATTAATCAAAGAGAAATTTCTAATTTTACAAATAATAGCTATTCAAATTATAAGTTACAAATAATAGCTATTTTAATTATTAAAAAGTTAAACGTTAGAAATTATTTTTTTTAACGATTACAAAAATAGTATGAAATAATTTTATTTACAAAAATAAATAACTATAATTATATTGTAGGAAGCGAGCGCTATGAGTCTATCCGTTTAGGGGTGAGCGTTGAGGGTTGAAATCAGCTCGTCCTCTCACGTGTGTGTAATTACTGTTGTTTTGTAATTGAACTAGTTTGTGTATTTTTTAATTAAACGGATAGATCCACAAAATTCTATTCCTACAATATTGTAATTAAACAAGGAAAAAGAAAAAGAAATGCTCCATAAAGATATTTATGGTGTCTGAATTTAAATACCGATTACTATTCCAATATACTATACACGTGCTTATGCTACAAAATTAGCTTAATTAGTATATCAGTGCAAATAATAATGCATCTGCCGAAAAAGGAATAAATCTCCAGTTCTATTCGTTCGTATACAGATGATCGGCAACAATTTTGGAAAATATTAAAAATTCTTTTCAGAAAATATGTCTGTTCATAATATATTGTGGATACTTTTAACAAGATACAGATGTGCATATTAATACGATTTTTATCGTACAAAAATCGAACTTCCGACGAGTTTAAGAGTTTCCGATCATAAACTGTGCAATTCGAAATCGTTATTTTTTTTTTTAATATTATTAACATATTTTCAATCAAAGGTCAATTTGTTAGTACGGAACAATTTTTATGCTACTTTTAGTAATGTATAAAATGTTGCAGTGTTGCAATAGAACATGGTGCATTTAAATATTTCTGTGCAATTATAATGATTAGTTTGCCGTGAAGCTGATTTAAGAAAACGTTTATTCTTCTTACCTCAAATCTATCAGAGGTAGGAAATCGACGTCTATTAGCGACCTCAAACTTGGTAAACTGTACGTTGCTATATGTCCATTAGAAATGTAGCACACCAGACAAACATTATCTAAAAAAGAAATACCATTTCTTTATTTGTTAATTATTTAATTTAGCTACATTCGTTTGAAATTACTACACATTACAATAGACTTTGATTGTATTGCCATGGACGACGCTGTAAAAGCAATTCTTGGAATTGAAATATGTATTATAATTTGACAATATGACAATTTGACAATATGAAAATTTGACAATATGAAAATTTGACAATATGACAATTTGACAATTTGATAATATGACAATATGACAATATGATAATTTGACAATTTGATCATTTGATCATTTGATCATTTGATCATTTAATCCTTTGATCCTTTGATCCCTTGATCCTTTGATCCTTTGATCCCTTGATCCTTTGATCCTTTGATCATTTGACAATTTGACAATTTGACAATTTGACAATTTGACAATTTGACAATTTGACAATTTGACAATTTGACAATATGACAATTTGACAATTTGACAATATGACAATATGATAACATGACAATTTGAGAATTTGTCAATTTGAGAATTTGTCAATTTGAGAATTTGTCAATTTGAGAATTTGTCAATTTGATCATTTGATCATTTGATCCTTTGATCCTTTGATCCTTTGATCCTCTGATTCTTTGATCATTTGACAATTTGACAATTTGACAATTTGATAATTTTACAATTTGACAATGTAACAATTCGATGATTTGGTAATTTATGAATTTAGAACAAAAATTTATGAGTTTGGTAATTTGGAATCCGGAATTTTTTAATTTTGGGATATTTATGTTTTAAATAATGTAAGATTTTTCGAATTATCAATTCACACATCAAATTTCATTCATTCATCGTTATATAAATATATCCAAGACACACACATTATCACAACGTTCAACCAAAGATTTGCAATCATATTCATCAATCCAATCCAAATATCCATCACTTGACATTGCAGTCTCCATAAATCATTCTCATTGTACCGTCTTCAAGAACACTTATTACCCTACATAAAAATTCGTGAAGAAAACTCGTTCAGCTGGCAATACAACGAAAGTTACCGTAATTGCAATAAAGAAGTTCTGCCACATTATACGCACCTTTCAAAGTCGTAATTTCTGCTTTGATCACAATATGGGTCTCAGTCAGTTGTTGTCTGTACATACAATTTTGCGATGGAAGAGCAACAACTCTTGCTTGTTTTTCAGATACTAATACACCGAATTGACGATCCTCGAAACCGTCCCCTGTAATTACTTGTGCGTTCATCGACGGCGACATACGGCTGTTTGTACATTTACCCTGGCTTTCTGTAACAATAGACACAATATTTTTTTTTAAATAAAAAACACCTGTACAAAGCAGATTCCTATGTAAAATAATACACTTTTAGACTAAATTTCTTTAGGGTAGACGGCCATTATGAATCGAAATGAACTGTAGGTAAAAGTAAGAAATTAATGATTGCTGGCCAAAGTTGACCCAGTGGACTTGGTATACCCTATTTTTGGTCTACTCTACTTTTTCAGTTGTACATTTTATAATTTTTATTACGATTTTGCAAGAACCTTCAAATCATTAAATAACGAGAAATAAAACATACTGTTGCGCTCCTTGCTTTCTGCACTGTCATCTCTCCAGGACTCGTACGAGTACGGAATTAGAGCACCGTTACAATCCAGGAAGGATATGGACAAGATACTTCCTTTCAGCTTGAAAGTAGATCCATCTGCAAAATATAAAACACAAATCTTATCTTGTGAACCGTATTCACAAAATTAATAAACCCAGGACTAAACATAGTGAATGAAATCGTTTAGACATTTCTCTTTAATCTCAATACATGCTATATTTATGAGAATTAAGCAAAATATTTTCTGTGTTGAGACAGTGTATCTTTAGTGCTATTTCAAAATTACTTAACAAGAATAATGATATGCTCCCATTAAGAATACAAAAATAAATTATTTTATGTCAACCCCTTGTATAATGATTTGTTAAGTGTGTCAGTCAGAACTAATCACAGATACAATATAAAATAAACAAAGAAGTGTTATAACAATTTGTTATCAATCGACTATACAAATTCGTCAAAATCGTTAAGGGGTTAAATAAGCACACATTAGACTTGAACTCCAAATTGAAGCTTATTAAAAATTCGACTAAAATTCATCACGAAGTGCCTCACGAGCCTCGTCAAAATAGTATAACTGGTTAAATAAGCACACAAAGAAAATACGACTTCCACTTACTGCACGTTGAAACAACAACTGGATGAGCATGTCGTTCTCCTCGAGCTGGCGTATTAAATATCACCGTTTGTATAGATCCCAGTGACGTGCCGATCCACAATGTTGGCACAGGAACGGTATCTTAAGAAAATAATGTGCAACGTGAATTACTGGAATACGAATAATTTGAAGAGAATCATTAACAGCAGGTTTATACCACTTTTTTTCGTGTACGAATCTGCGAAGATAAGGCAGCTTATGGTTTCCGTGGTGATGTTCTCGAGCGACGACATACTGGAGCTCCTTGACCGTTGAAACGAACTGTCGTATTTGTCTACCCGACCAGCAGTATCCGAGAACAAATGGAAAATTAAGTACCAAACACACGATAATCAGCAACATATTCTGACGAGCATGCAACATCTATCATCAAAGTACAACCCTGACACGTTTAGCGTTCTCTTCTTAACGGACCTCGCTAAAAAGAGATCGGTCAGAAGGTAAAAAATAAAAAGAATGTACGTGTATCAAGTAGTGACACACCAATGACAAGACTAGCGATCACAACAACAACAATAATAATAATAATAACAGCGACAGCAACAACAACATCTATCACGACTAGTATCTCTCTTGACAGGACAGTTCACAGAGTAACATCTTTCATTCGTTGCAACATTCATCAAGTTGATCGGGTGTGTAGATTTTTTTTTTCGTCGAATCGAAATGACATCGTGGTACATCGTAGACGTGTTATTAAATCGAACAAAATCACGAACTCCATTCTTGTTCAGCAAAATTACATTGATCTTAACATTTATGTAGCGTTAACAAGTGAAAAGTATGTCCTATATTGAGAATCATTCGTTTACTGTCATCTGTTTAAACTCGAGTACAGGAATCGAGCATAATTGTTCATAATTCTTGTTCGAAAAGAATTATTTTCGATTTTACATTCGATTCGGAAAGGCAATTGTTGTGGACGACTGCTTATACCGGAATATTATTTGTAGAATTATTGCACGTTCGACACAATTCCACACTCTCAAAGGCGCTTCAAAGCTCGAACATAATCCTCTGCCTTAAAACTTAAAACATACGGGTTTGAAATAAACATAGACAATTCACACTCTATAAGAAATGAAACTTTCAGTAGCAAGATTATGCAATTTGCATTAAAAAAAGGCATTCACCAACATCCCTGAACTCTCTAAAAGTCTCGCGTGCTCGGTATACGAATAAGCACGCGGATGCAGAAGATTTTAATAAAAATCTAACCGTATTTCCTCAAAATGTTTCTACTAAACAGCGTGACAGGTTGTATTAATCTTGAAGAAATAAAATTCGTTTTTTGATCAAAATCTCGTGCGCTTCGTTCCGTGTTATCGTACACCGAGCAAGAAAACAAAAATAAGATTAATTGTAGTGTATCATTAGGCCACATCTATTAGAGGAAAGAAGCCAACTGAAAAATATGAGGCAGACAGATGGAAATTGGACAGATCGCGGAAGAATATTCGTCGTCAGAGGTGCAGAGTGAAAATTAGAGATCACGTAAATTCAATGATGTGCCATTTCGTGTTCTTGGAGAGAATGGTTTGATTAAGAGCGAAGTAAACAAAAGATACGATGCAGAATAGTAAAGTCTGCCGAAGTGTCACGTATCCACACTGAAATCAGCAAAGACCAGACAGTATTTGTTCATCGGACACAGTGGAAGAGGACACGACAACAAAGACCAATCTTGAAAACAACAGATAAAGGGTGAAAAGTATAAAAAAAGCAAAACAATATGAACACAAGATCAACTAATTTTCCGATATATCTATTACGGACGAAATAAATAAACGAGAACGAAAAACACTGTTCAAGAGGTCTCCATAGATCGCAGCGAACCTATCGATAAAAGAATGGTTCTAGTGGAGAATGAAATGAAACCAACAGAGCGAAACGAAGAAAAAAGCGTTCAGAATAGAGTTAGACTGTCATTCAGTAACACAGGAAAATAAAAGGTAGTCGAGGATCTACGGTTAAGTTTAGTAATAGTAATTGTAGGTAGTAGTAAAAGGTATAATTCGTTTAGTGATACTACCAAAGCTGTTATACTGTCTGGTGTTGGAGAGGATATTCTGGTAGTTCAAAGAAGGTTGCGGAGTGGTCGAATAGCTTCGTATCTCGCCGCTACGGTGACTAGAGAACAACGAAGTCGTTGGAAAGTTGTTCAACGACGAAGAATCCAGTTCATAATGGCTGGTAGTTGTACTCAGACACTTCTGGAGCTTTCTGATGCCTTGAGCACGAGTCTGACGTGGCTCTATCGTTTGGGATTTGCGAGAACTTGCGTTAGAACCATTGGAATTGTCATCGGTGCTAGTTACTGTACTGCGAACAATCGATCGAGGGGTGCTGACACCACTACCCTCGCTATCGTAACCACCATCACCAGCAGCGTAATCACAGCTACTATTATCGGCGTTGTCACCTTTCTCACTACCACCAACCACCACCGTACCTCTTCGCGTTATCGGCAACATGCACATCCCGTTCATCTACAAATGAACGACAGATCAAAACACGGAAGAATGAATACCATCCACCTGCTCTCGAGTTCTATCCGTATAACCAACGTGTTCGAGAAGACTTATATTTTATTCTTGCACTTCTAAACTACCCCTCGTCACTTTCATCATCGTTGTATCCTCCTACATCGACCGTGGTCTGAAATCGCCAGAAAGGAGGAAAAATTCCTCTTTTCAGAGCCTACTTTCTTTAGCGAAAGGTTCATTTTTTCATCCTCGAATGTTTATTATGTCACACTTTATATAGGGCTCTTGCAAGGTTATAATCATCCACGCATTGCGTGAATTGCATGTGTTAGCACGCTTTTGTGATTATTTAGTAAAAATATATTGTCGAGTTTGTAGTGAAATGTATTGATGTACAGAAAGGGTGTTTGCCATCACAAAAGCGCAATTTGCAACTGTCCATACGGGCAAAATTGCCTGTTCGTCAAATTCAAAATGAAATCACTGTTCGATGGAAGTGTTGTATGTAAATGTGGGGAGACAAACGTTGGTCGAAATTTGCATCGAGATATAAAAAGTTTTATGAATTGCCGTGTTCACGACAAGTGATTGCGTGATGTGTTTACAAAGAGGGACAATTTTATTTTTTTGCCAATAAAGGTCTATGTACCAGAATACGTTGATGTTGATGTCAATGATTTTGTTGTAAATAAAATATGTTGTACTGGTTTATATAATCGTCTAGAGTTATCATTTTATTGATCTCGAATTTGTCTAAAAAATAGGAGTATTTGAAATATGTTATTTTTGCCTGTTATCGTTTAGATAAAATGCACTTAGGATATTTATTGCAGAAACTAGTTATACAGTTCAGTTACTTTTTCTTCTGTTTTATACGAGAAGAAGAATTACTGTAATACATTTTTATGTTAAAAATTAAGTCTAATACAGTAAATTATAAGGAAATTCTTTTCGTGTAAATTTTTGTGTTCTCTTCATGAGTTAGAAGTTTTAAAAATTTTTTCCTAGAAATTCTACTTTAAAACTGAGCCTTTAACAAAGGTGGAAATATTAAAATTAATGTCGCACCAAGCTGTTACAGAATTCGTAATGATTATCATCACTTTTAAGATACTTTCGTTGATGTGTTTTAAATAAAGATACTATAAGAAATTTATCTGTTCTGAATCATTAACAAATTGCAAATAAACAAATTTCAGAGACATTTCTTTTTCTAGTCAAGGTTACCTTCATTCCTTTAACATCCTATATTGTCTATGAAAAGTTGTAAATAATATTAAGGCAAATTGAATAATGTTGGATAAAATACATTTGTTTAATTATCTACAAGTACAACTACATTAAAAATGATTTTCTTTAAAGTTACACATTAATTGACATTTCATCGTGACAAATTGTTAAGTCAGTAAAATGAAATTTATAAAGATAGCGATTTCTTCCCTCTTTTCAGCGATTTCAGACCACTGTGTGGCGAACCTTTCGATAAGGGAAATTATAAAACAAGATGGCCTTCCAATAACATTCGGCTCACTCTTAAGTCTGAGGCATTATCTGATAGATGAACATATGAATCTCGTATTCATATTTTTTTTATTACGTTTTAACCTCTTCAATACTATAAACACGTAAACGTATCTGATAAGTGACGCTTTTGTCTACTAAAATGTATTCAAGTAAAGAATGATGGATCCCTAATAATTTAATGTGATAAATATGTAATAATGTGATAAGTATAAATATACGAAATTTTCAAATGGTTCTAACGAATGCTTTGAAACACAAAATTATTGTTACAACGCTCTCTCGATAAAAATATCCTTGATTAATTCGTCGAAGAGTTGCAACTACTTTTAGCGCTATAGATGGTAATGGAATTATCGTAAACATAAAGTGCATTTGCGTCCATTTGTCTCTGTAGAAGACACGAAAGAATAAATTAAATTACACTGTTCAATCACAAACAGCGACCGCTTTAATCTCGTTATGAAAAATAATGAAATGTAAATATAAGACATAAACATAAAGAAATGCTGTATGTGCTAACTATGTGAAGGCGGAATATTTGAATGTCTTTAATCCTGCAACAAATACTATATGAAAACAATCATTCAATTAAAACGGTGAGCGAGTGAGCCAGTATGGCGTTATGTAATCTACGATCTCACAAATTAATAACACCATATCTCTTGTTCGTTGGCCCTGATTATACTAATTCGTATGTTTATCCATTTTGTAATGCCTCAACTGAAAAGGCAGAAAACGACCGGCCAAAAGTCACTATTCTTTTATTTTTCCCTTTACCGAAGAAAGCCATCAGACTCGTCGGTGCTCGTTTAGTAACAATTGACAGAATTATTGAATAGCTCAAAAAGTTCATGTGATTAGTACTCAGAGTAAGAAAGCTAGAGAATAAGTTAATTTACTTAAAAAATTTACTTTGCTAATTTACAGCAAAAATCGCTTTAGAATATCCCTGTCTATAGTGAAAGTAGAATTTTATTATTAAAATTTCAGGAGTTAGAAAAAGTTGTGAATATTTCAAATGTAATATTACACGTTCAAAAAGCTAAGAATAATAACATTTTTAAGAATGAATATCTTCTAATTTATATAAAATTTCTTGTCAGAAAACCAAACAACTGTTGTAGATTAAGCACAGTAGGAAAATGGAGACGAGTAAAGAAAATAACTATTAATAAATATAGTGTAAAATAGACTTCGGAATTGATCACAAAAATTTAATTTGTCTAACCAAAACGTAATTTATCTAAAATTTAAATTATCTGACTACCAGTTT